ACGACACCCCTCTAGACCACTATCGGCAAGGATGTCTAAGGTATACTTCCGTTGACTTAGAACCATACCATCTTCTGTACGAGTGGATTCGATGCCAAGGAAGTATTTTAGGGGACCTAAGTCTTTAATACTAAATTTGTTGTGCAAAAACGCCTTTATTCTAGCAATATGATCACCATTATTGCCAAGGAGTATGACGTCATCAACATAAATAAGAGCTGCAATATAAATGGTGTTAGTTTTAAAAAAAACAAAGAGTGATCAGCCCTTGAGTGTTGAAAACCGATCTCCAAGAGAGCTTCTGTGAATTTTCGGTACCAATTCCTTGAGGCCTGTCGTAATCCATATAGGGATTTGCGCAACTTACATACACGAGTGTCACCAGCCTTTACAAATCCATGGGGAACCTTCATGTACACTTCTTCTTCAAGATCACCATGTAAGAAGGCATTGTTGACATCAAACTGGTGAATAATCCATTTCTTTTGAACTGCAACAGCTAAAATTGTTCTCACAGTTACTAATTTTGCCACCGGCACAAAAGTTTCATGAAAGTCGATGCCTTCTTCTTGTGTAAAACCTCTTGCAACCAACCTTGCTTTGTATCTTTCAACTTCTCCTGAGGGTCTGTACTTTATTTTGTACACCCACTTGGAATCTATGGCCTTCTTACCTGGTGGTAATTGTGTTAAAGTCCAGGTGTTGTTATTTTCGAGAGCTTCGATTTCTTTCTTCATAGCCTCCTGCCATTGTGGACACTTAGCAGCTTGGGAAAAACATTTAGGTTCTTTTTGTGTAGAGATAGCCATCAAGAAAGCTTTATGTGAGTTAGTAAAATGATCATAGGACACATAATTAGATATAGAGTGTACCGTTGAGGTCGCTGAATTGCCATGAGTGAGAGAATGGTCTATGGAAGGCGGCAAATTAACTTGATATTCCCCAAAATTTTGTGGTTTTGTTCGAATCCTCTCAGGCCGCTGATTATTCCGCTGATTTGAGGCTGGATCAACGCTATTCATGGATATGTTGTCGGTTTCAGAATGACCAGACCCGGTTCCAATAGAGGTGATGACAGGCTGCTGATGTGGCGCATCTGGAGTGCTCCGAGACTCATCTCCAGCAGGTATGTCCGGCCTAACTTGAGGGTTGGGTTCTACATCTTCATGATCAAATTGAAAGGATGTAGAATCCTTGAGACTATCATCATGACTTTTAGTGTTAGTTTGTTCATGATATGGAAACTTGCATTCAACAAACTTGACATCTCGAGACACAAGAATTTTGTTTTCTTGGATATCAAAGACCTTGTATCCTTTTTGCCTTTGTGGATACCCAATGAAGACACACGGCCTCCCCCTTTCTTCAAACTTGTCTCTTCCTTGTTTATTTTCTTTAACGTATACCAGACACCCAAACACTCTCATATGGTCATAACTAGGCTTTTGTCCCAACAAGATCTCATATGGAGTTTTGTTTTTGATAGAGCGAGACGGAAGTCTGTTTATAATGTATGTCGCTGTCAACACGCATTCTCCCCAAAATTCTATTGGCAAGTTCGCTTCAAATCTCAAGGCTCTTGCAACTTCAAGCAAATGCCTATGTTTGCGTTCAACAACCCCGTTTTGTTGCGGGGTATGAACACAGGACGTTTCAAGTACCATGCCATTTTCTTCATAGAATTTCATCATGAAGTTGGAAGCAAATTCTCCACCATTATCGCTTCTAATTCTCTTAATCTTCTTTCCGGATTGCGTTTGTATCATGTTGTGAAAAGAAATCAAATTTTTACCAACATCAGATTTATGTTTGATTAAATAAACCCATGTAGATCTACTAAAATCGTCAACTAGTGTAAGAAAATAATGAGCTCCCGAGAGTGAAGGGACCTTATAACCACCCCATATATCACAATGTATTAGATCAAAACAAGAAGTTTTAATATTACTATCTGAAAATGGGAGTCTAGTTTGTTTTGCCTGTACACAAGAGTCACAATTTTCTACGTTAACTACACTACCAATAGATTCAATTTGTTGTAATTTTGAGGAGGGACCAAAACGCTTATGCCATATTTCTGAATCAATCTTGACCGCCATGATCGCTAACCTTTTATCCATTTCTTCCATGTTGTATAGACCATTCTCACATCTACCCATGCCAATCAGCTTCCTCGTAGGTAAGTCCTGAATGAAACAGAAATCAGGAAAAAATGTCATGAAACAATTGAGACTTTTGGTCATTTTACTAACAGATAAGAGATTGCATTTGAATTTTGGTATATAAAGAACATCTTTTATTTTGATGCTATTTGGAAGATTAGCATTCTCAATTCCTTGAACTGGAACGTTATCACCATTTGGTATGCTAACAGGTACATCATCCTTGGAACTTTTTAAATCAAAAAGAGTAGAATTGTTGCAAGCAACATGATCAGTGGCTCCCGAATCTATCACCCAAAGAGTATTGAGAACACACTTACCAGCCATGTTGATTTCAGGTTTTTGTGAGTCACTTAGCTATTTAATCAACTTAGTGTACTGCTCAAAACTTAGCCCCGGTATTGGGCTAACTTCAGCTTCAACGGTGGCTGCTTTATGTTTTGGTTTGACTTGTTTTCTTTGATCTCCTATCGTTTTGCGTGAGCGATTGTCCCACCAATTCGGATAACCAATTTTCTCGAAACACCCATCTATGGTGTGCCCAACCTTTCCACAATGTTTGCACTTCAAAGCTTCACGATTCTTCTTCTCATTTTGAATTTTCTCAGAATTTTCTTGAGTGCTTATTTGATAGGCAGTGGCATCAACAGTGACTTTCCTAGCCGTGGTAATATTGCGTTGTTGTTCATCTTTCGCGACAAGATGATAGGTGGTGCCGAGTGATGGCATGGGCTTTGTGCTCAATATTTGAGTTTTAATGGTTCCAAACAGATCATCGAGTCACATAAGAAACTCATAGACTCGTTCCTTCTCTTTTGCCTCAAAAAATCTCTTTCCCAGATCACAAGTACATTTACCACATGTGCACTTAGGGATGGGTGAAACCGATTGGATTTCATCCCATATTCCTTTCATCTTGGTGTAGTAGGTTGAAACAGAATCCTTGTTTTGTCTCAGTCCCGTTAGCGTGCGCTTCAATTCATACGCTCGAGGAGCACTTTCTTTACCAAATCTCTCTTCAAGATCATCCCAAACTTCCTTTGCAGTGTTAGCGTATTTGACGCTGTTTCGAATGTCCTTCTCCATGGCTGTTGTGAGCCATCCTTTTATAATGGCATCACTCCGCTGCTAGGGATTCATCAATGGTGAGTCAGAAGTTGGTTGAAGGATGGTTCCATCAATGAATCCTGCACGGTTCTTGGCAAACAAAAAATCCTTCATCTCCCTTGACCAATCAGAGTAATTGCTGTCGGTGAGGCTTTCATTCACATGCATTTGTCTAGGGTAATCATTGGGATGAATATAGTATGGTGAATTTGGATCAGACGAAGGATTGGTGGTCGAGCTACTGCCGGGTTCAATGACAACACCATCGACCATGATGATTTAAAACGGATCAACAGACCCGCTCTGATACCATAAAGAAAACTGAATTCAGCTAAACTGAAGAAGTAGTCTTCCATATTCTCATACATATTACGCACAATGGAAAAGGTTTAAATACATAATATGTGCTTGGTAAACAAGCAAAGAAAAGATAATGACTAAAAAGCTAGAAACTAGGAAACAATAAATATAATCCTAATCCTAATCTAAATGATGACAACCGGATAATTCCAACAATAAATTATTATAATAATTATTTAAAGGATTACTTTTTTTATTCCTACACACACCAAAAATAATAATTATAACCAATCTCATTTTTGATAAAATTAATATTGATTTGTTTCATTATTTTACAACAATCCTTAACAGTCAATCTTTTAATCATTCCAACATATTATAAATCCTAAAGTGAATAGTACTAGTTTGAGTAAATGATGTATTGTTTTCGTCAATTCAAAGATCTAAGCCTATATAAGCTTTTTTAATCTTAGAGTTGGAGAATGATGTAGTACAACAAAGTTATGGGCACCGTTATCAGCATTCCGAATATCACCCTGAAACAAGATTTCGTAAGGGTTGTCAATAATAAAAACAAGCATCTAAATAAAAAAGAGTAAATTACACGATCTGTCCTTCGTCTATGTGTCAAATTGTTCGTTTAGTCTCTATTTTCAAAAATTAATTCGGACTGTTCCAATAATGTTTTTTTCTCACTCGGACCATCCCTGGCGAACATAAAATGACTATTTTACCCTTTCTCTTTCTTTTTTGATATATTTTTTATTTGTTTGTTATTAAAAAATTTAAAAGAAAAATAAAAAATAAAGAAAAACAAAAAAGGGCCCCCCACTACAAACACTTATCATCTACACTAATCTCACTCACACCCTTCAATTCTTTATCATCAGTTTATCTTCATGGGTTCATCTTCTACCGCCGATCCACCGCACTACACCATCGGACCATCGTGCAACACTGTCGGACCACCACATCTTTTTCTCTCAGAAACACCGTCGACGACCCCATCTTCCCTCGTTCTTCTTCTAGGTTAGTCATTAAGCCACCATCGTCGACCACCAGGTCCTGTAGAAACATAAGTGGAGCAGAGGAACACAAACACACATTGTTTGTGTTTACTGATGCAATACAGATAAAGAGAGAGCAAGAGAGATGGAGATAGAGTCGTCATCGCCACCCCGCCATCGCCATTGTCGGAGGTGGCTTCATCTTCTTCACCTAAATCCATATTCTCTAATATACAACCCAACGTATCTGGTGGTAACCCAACTGATCCGGTGGAGATGGACAATTATTTCACGTGGTTTCAACAGATCCGCCGATACTGGTGAGATTCAAACCGTAGCCGACGGAGATGGCAGCGCAAATGTCACGAAACCCTAGCGTACAAAGGCTTGGAGGCGACTATTACTTGCAGATCTGAGGCGGTGTTCAGTGATGATATAGGTGAAGGAGGTCGGAGGTGGTATCGCCAACGTTCTGGGTGAAGGAGGCAGGAGAGGAAGGTCGGCGACGACTTTGGTTAGCTACGGTTTTGGATTCCTGTTGGGAGTGGGTGAGAAAGAGGGAGACAATGCCAGATTGTGTCTTTATTGGGTGCGGAGCAGGGTGATGTGGTGGTGGTGGAGCACCGGTGGCGATGTAGTGGTTTTGGAGCATCGGCGATGATGCGGGTGGGTGGTGGGTTGGTGGTTCATGAAAGAAAAGAGGAAGAAAAAGGATATACGAAGGTGGGGCCCAATTATTTAATGATTTCTTTAAAATTATAGTTAATAATAATAACAATCTAAAAATAATTTAAAAATAAAAGAATAAGGGCAAAATAGACATTTTATGTCTGGTAAATGATTTAAAGGGATGAAACATGCAATTTTTAACGATATAAGTGACTGTACTAGTTAATTTTTGAAAATAGAAACTAAACGAGTAATTTAACATTTTGATGAGGGACGAATCGTGTAATTTGTTCTAAAAAAATTAATACAACACATTAATATATGACAATTAATCAAAAGTTTATACTCACGCAGTACTAAGAATCGTTGGATGAACATTGTATTCCTTAGCAAAAACAAATGGTACAATTCCTTCGGAGAGTGTAGCCTATATATATATGATCGTTATATATATATATATATATATATATATATATATATATATATATATATATATATATATATATATATATATTAACAGATCAGATGACATTCACCTGAACAATGGATACATGAAGAAGGTTACCATGAAGACCAACTAAGACCAACTATGATAGCTGCCACTGCCATTACCATCGGTCCTATAAGAAACTTTACACCCATACCTAATGCAGCCTTTGATCTCCCACATGCTATTATCTTAGGTTGAAGTGCCATAAACAAACCTTAAAATACACACATAAAACATAACATTCTTTTAGTTTTAAAATAAGGGTTTACATTGAAGACAAAATACGTATAGAACTTTAGGAGACACACTCGCATGACAGCATTGTTGCTAAAAATCCGACAACTTTAGTGTATTCAATTAGACCCGAGACTTGTTGGCATAAAATTGTTTCTTTATGTAATGAACCAAAACCAAAAGAGAAATCAAATATTTTCTTATCTTTCATTCCTACCAATCTTCATATTAATAATATATCAAAACAAGTGTCAAATTTTGTTCCTACCAATCTTCATACTAATAATATATCAAAACAAATGTCAAAAAGAAGAGAGCCAGTAAAGAAAAATTTATGGAATTCTACATGTCATTTCTTATATAAATAGAAATATGGATAGGAACAAAAGGAGATTTATTTAATTTCTCAAACCTCGAACCAAAATGACGTTATTTTAATCTTATTATAATGAATAACCACTGCAATGATGCTACACATTGAGTAACAAATAACCAGCACCAACTATGATGCTAACTACACATTGAGTAAAAACATTGATTAAACCTTAAAAGGACAATATTAACCAATAGTTAAGATACGTGGGTGTAATTAAATTACAGTATTGGATTGATTGTAACATAAACTGAAATTGGTATACATTGAATAAAAACATTAAACCTTAAAAGGGACAATATTTAACACTAGTTAAGATATATATGTGTAATTTAATTAGAGTATTGGATCAATTGTAACATAAACTATAATTGATAAACTCAAGTAAATAAAATTTGGCCGTAACAAAAAAAAGAAAAAAAAAATCCAAAATATGTAACTTTTCAAATGTCTGAATATTTTAAATAGAAATATCTTGTGAAGTCAAGTAGAACAACATTTATTTTCGCAGTATTAATTAAAGCCCAAATATATCATATTAACTAAATTCCAAAAAAGTTAATTTAAAATATAATTACTCGACAACTTGTTTAATTTAGTAAAATATAAACAGAAAAAATCAAGCATTTACCTAAACTAAACATAGCCATTCCAAAACCAGCATTGGATATCAAACTGATTGAATTTCCTATTATTTTTGGCATTTGCACATGGCACCTGATCGATCAGTTCAAAAATTAATAGATATGTCAATTGATAAATGAATGGTGCCAGCAGTGGCAGGGTTTACCTGAAAGACACAAGAGACCAAATTAGACCTATGTTGCTGGCGTACGTGTCAGGGTTTCTACTCAATTTCCGCCAAACCATCATCAATATCAAACGGATCATCACACTCGCCGCCGGCATCCGTTTTGCAGACCCTTCATCCGGCACTGCCACCGTCTTAGGGTGGTGTTCCGCCGCCGCAGAGTCCAAAACCAGTTTTATTCTCTCTTTATCTCCACCTATCTCCCCCCGAACTTCTTCCGTTTCTTATCCACGTTCAAATTTAGCACTTTCAAGGAATTAGAAATTAACATCGAAAGAACGATTAGTTATTTATTTACCTTTGATATTGTCATCGGAGACCAACATCCGGATTTCCTTAGCTCCATGTTGATCCGGGCGATATGAGTGCTCCGTCGGCGCACTAGAACTCCGAGGAAACTTCTGGACGTTATGGCTCACTTTGTTTTGTTGGCCGTTTGTAACGCTCAGACAAGTTCCGTGTTTGCGCCTGTAAAATTTTGACTTTTGAGACAGCAAAATGTACTGCTTTCTGAAAATAAATACTCCCTCCGTCCCAAAATTATAGTCCATCTTTCCTTTTTGGTTTGTCCCAAAATAATAGTCACTTCTAAAAATAAATAACATTTTTACCAAAATACCCCCTCATTATTACTTAACCAACTAAGCATTTAATGGAACATTAAATGCAAAGTAAGGACAAAACTGTCATTTTATTAAATAAAGTTAGTGGTAATTAATGCTTTACTTAATATGTGGGTTTTTTGTCTGTGGACAAAAATATTGGGACGGAGGGAGTATTTAAGTAACATCGTACCTTCCGCAAAAATCTTAGATGCACCCATGTCACAAGTTGCATGGTACAATCCAGACTTCGTAGAACTCATGTTGGATGATACCGGAGTGGGGTCATTTTCGTAACTTGACAGCCTCGAAGTTAGACCCATCGACAGCTGAAAGGAACACAAATCCGCAGCCGAGCCAAAACTAGATAGTCGGCCGCCGGAAAACCCCGTAATGGACAAGAAATCCGGTTGGTTGACATTAGAACCTTTTGGAGTTTGGATAGCCGGTGAGCTTATACTGTAAATTTCAGCTCCTGAAAGAGATCCGACTCCAATCAAGTTTCTTGAAACTTTCGATTTCCTTACCATGATGTGAAGTTTCCGGTCACCTCCGATCTCCGTCACCGATTCAAGCAAATCTTGGCCATCAAGAGAAACTACGTCTGTATCTACCTTTACTGAAACGATGTGGCCTCCGGTTTTCGGGAACTGTTCCATGATCAACATCTTCGCGCCACGAAACTCGAATAGGACAAGAAGTAAAGTGTACCAAATGATGCACTGCAGCACCAGCACCTGGACCATCAGTGATTCTGTAAAATCTCCATACATCGCACTTACTAACGGAACCCCGATCACGAGGGTGTTGGGGAGGGTGGAGAGTGAGAAGATGGTGATCATCCATTCAAGGCTGCCGGATTTGGTGAATTTAGCCCATAGGCCGATCACTAGCAGCATGATGATCTTCTGGAGGGTGTCGGCCGCGAGGAAACGAAAGTTCATGGTGTAAGGATCGTTCATGGATATGAAGTGGAAAGAGAGGAAAGGCACAGCGAAGATGGCGACAAAACGGTTGATGCCAGAGCACTGGTCTGGGGTGAAGATCTTCCACCACTTGACGATGTCGTAAGCGAGAAACATTGTGACGTATAACGGCGCCATTGCGGTCACGACGGTGGAAAAGTCATGCCAACTGATCATTTCTGTTTACAGAGAAAATTCAGGCAAGAGTTTTAGGGAGTGTGTGTGTGTGAGTGTAGTGGTGTACATATCTTAAATATAACGCGGGGAGACGTAGGAGGGAAAATTTGACCGTTCGCTTTCCTTATAGGTATAATTTACTGAGGTTTTCACCCATGGGCGAATTTAAGAAGATTCCTAAAATTTTCAAATTATTTATAGATATTGTAGAATAAAAATTAGGACCTATCATTAAAAAAAATTTAGGACCTACCTTTTGTTTTTGTTGATAAAAAGTTAAAATAAAGAAAAAGTTCACTCCTACTCACATGGTAAGTTGTTTGTGTTTTGTAACCTGAAGATCCGGGTTCTATCCTTGTTAGATGAGTGGTTTTTTTAAATTAGTCAAACATTTTGCAATAATCTTATATAACTATTATAAGTGATTCATAGTTTCAATGTTAGTCATTATTTTCTCCCACAAAAATCTTAATTTTCATTTGTAAACCTGTAATCAACCCACATGTTAGATAACTTTCCATAAAAATCAATATAAAATTATGTATTTTTGTTCTTGTTAGCTTTGGAGAAATGAATCGAATTAGATAATGCATATATTTTTCTCGAGGATATTGAATGTATTTAAATTGGTTCCTTCTTGAAGAACATGTCATTCTGGAATAAACTTATTATTTCTATTTAAAATTTGGCAGTTTAAATATAGTTTTTTGGTAATTTAAAGGGCATCTTAATTGTTTTTGCACAAGACCTTGAATCTACGAGCACTGGCTCTGGGTATACGATCGACCGTCACTAGTATTGTTATCTCTTTTATTTCTATCGGCTTCACTTAATTAGGAACCACGTAGTTTTCTATTCTAGATTCGGCACTGTTTTCACCACACATGGATGATAGAACTACGAGATAATTATTCTTGCAAAATGCCTTAAAAAATTATGTAATTTTGATTTCATTTAGTAACAGTTTAACTTTATAGTGTATACATATATTTTCCTGATTTTAGGTTGGACCTCTCAAAAACTGATTTCCTAAAGGGAGTCGAATGGATCTGAATATAGCCTCTTTGGTTAGTGATTGTGTCGAGAACCAAACAGGAGGATCTGAATTGGATGGTTAGATCTAAAAAATCTTATTCAAAATGTTCTATATGATCATCGGGAAAGATGGAAGTACGAGGCTGGAATGCGAAGAGTTCTTATAGGGTTTCCTCGGCGATCGAGAAGATTGATTGATAAATCAATCTAGTGGTTGAGACAGCTACTCGATGGTATTAGAAAATCATATATAAATTTGTATGTATTTAAATTATTGCTTATAATCCTGTTCATATTGTGTGGAGCTGTTGTTGTAATATTGTATGTATTTATACCCTTTTGGAATAAAGGTGGAGACAAGGATTATCACTAAGGGGTTGTTTGGTAGTTTCTGATTGAGTAACATTTGACTGAGTCAGAGCCTGACTGGGTCTGAAGTCTGAGTGTATCTAAAACTGACTGAAACCATGATGTTTGATTATACGTCTGACTAGTTGTGCTGACTATTGAAAATGACCATTTTACCCTTCTATCATATATTTGAGTGGTATAACAAAAGAACAAAAAAAGTACATTGCCATTTAGTGTAGGTTTTAAAAAGAAACTAACCAACAAACTAAAGTAAATTGCTATGTAGTGCAAGTATGAAAAATAAAAAAATATAGCTTTTTCATAAATTTCTTTGCAATAACCTAGATAACAAAACCATCGGGTCATTTTGTTCATTAATCTTCTCCACCACATCGTTCACTTTTAATCACAAATTCCTCCACAAAAATCAAAACCCATTGAATATGTTTGTGATTAAAATGGGTGATGGGTAGTGGTGAGCAATGGTAGGTAATGGGTGCTACATGGATGGTGTGTGTGGTGGTGGTAGATGGTGGGTTTAATCACATATGATTATATGTATTTAATCACATGTGATTTATTTGGAAAATATTTGCTTTCACGTTCTTCATTAAATAGTCATTCTTGCATATATAATCAGATGTGATTATATTTATCTAGTCACATGTTATTCAATAATTTTTTCATGAAATAATCACATTTGAATATATGTATCCATATAAATCATATGTAATTAAATACATCTAATTACATGTGATTAAATATACGAGAACAACTATTGAATCGAAAACAAAAAACCAAATATTATCCACATAAATTATATGTGATTAAATATATATAATCACATGTGATTATATGTGTCCAATCATATATGGTTTATGTGGACAATATTCATTTTGCGTTCTCGATTCAATAATTGTTATGTGTCCACTTTAATAATATGTGCTTAAATACATTTAATCACATGTAATTATATGTATCTAATCACATATGCTTTTTATTTGGAAAAAAATCTTATCCATATAAATCATATGTGATTAGATGTAGGGATGAGCAAATGGACCGGGGAACCGGCCGGAACCGGTCCCGGAACCGGAACCCGATGGAACCGGTCGGGCCGGGACCGATACTATAATTTTGTGAATTTTTGGAATCGGGACCCGGTAAGAACCGGCCCTTGGAACCGGCTCAAAACCGGGAACCGGACCGGATAGTCTTTACAAAACATCCCATGCCTTTGTCGCTTGCACTTTTTTAGAAGACTATTTTTTAGATCCAAATTATCAAAGCTAAACAGTAGATATTAATGAGCAAACCACGGTGTTTAGCATTATGTATTTTGGTAAAATACATCTTTGAAATACAACTCTCCCCATTCCTATATTTTTCACAAAATGATAAAATTCAAACAGCTTAATCTATTCGGCCTTCTTAGCTTTCTTTGGAGATTTAACAGCTTTAGAAGGACTTGATGGCTCCTTAGCAGCAGTCTTCTTTGGCAACAAAATAGGATTGATATTTGGAAGAACACCACTATGAGCAATCGTAACTCCACCCAGTAATTTCCCAAGCTCCTCATCGTTTCTAATGGCCAACAGAAGATGGCAAGATGCCTTGGAATGATTCTGGTTTCTTGTTGTCCCTAGCCGCATTTCCAGCTAACTCTAGCACCTGCAGTAAACAACAATCAAGCAGATTAGAAAAATAATCCATGAATTATAATCTATATCAAACAAACAAAGCTTCATAAATCAGATCTAAGCTCCATTTTCTTTGTTTAATTCATAATCAAGCCAGTTAACATCAATTTACAATATCCCTAACGCAAATATGTTGCTATTTGTCGAAGACCGGTTCCGAAATCGAAAAACCGGCAAAAACCGGACCCGGAACCGGAACCGGTAGAACCGTCGGGCCGGTTCGGTTCTTGATTTTGGCTAAAGCCGGTTCCTTGTTCAGGTCCGAGTCGGGCCGGTTCCGGCCGGTTCGGTCCTTTTGCTCATGCCTAATTAGATGCATATAATTGCATGTGATTATATACACGAGAACAATTATTGATCAATGACGCGAAAACAAATCTTATCCATATAAATCAAATATGATTAAATGCATACAATCACATGTGATTATATTTATCCAGTCACATACGATTTATGTGGATAAGATTCATTATCGCTTTATCGATTTAATAACTGTTCTTTTTCAACTTTAATCATATGTGATTAAATACATCTAATCACATGTGATTATATGTATCTAATCACATATGATTTATATGGACCAAAAAAGAATCTTGTCTATATAAATCATATGTGATTAGATACATATAATCACATGTGATTATATACAAGAGAACAACCATTGGATCAAAAAACATGAAAACAATTGTTTGTCCAGATTAATCATATGTTATTAAATACATATAATAAGATATGATTAAATACATGAGAAAAATTATTGAATGGAAGACATGAAAACTAATCTTGTTTATATAAATCATATGTGATTAAATACATATAATCACACTTGATTTTTGGGATTATTTTCATTTAACTACATATGGTGTTGGTGTTTGTAGGTAGTGGGTGGTGGTGGTGGTGGTAGTTGTTGGGTAGTGGGTAGTGGTGGTGGTAAAGGTGATGGTGGGTATAGAGGGTGGTGACATGTGGTAGTGGTGGGTAGGTAGGTGGTGGTGGTGATAGGTGGTGGGGGTGAGTGGTAGTGGGTATGGTGGTTATCATGGGTAGTGAGTAGGTCGCTGGTGGTCTTGATGGGTGGGTGAAGGCGGGTGGTGGTGGGTGGTGGTAGATGGTGATGATGTTGGTAGGTGGTGATGTGGGTGATGGTGGGGGGTCGTGATGATGGTGGTGGGTAGTGAGTGGGATGGTGGGTTGGAGATGGTGGTGGTGGGTGGGTGGTAGTGGTGGAGGCGGGTTGTGATGTTGTTGGTAGGTGATGGTGGTAGGTGGGGATAGTGGTTATGAGGGGTGGTGGTAGGTGGTGGATGGTGGTGGGGTTATGGTGGCGGGTGGTGGGTGAGGAAGTGGTGATGGGTGGTGGAGGTGGTTAGTGGTGAAGGGTGGTGGCGATGGTCGGTGGTGGTGGTTGGTGGTAGTTGATGGTGGTAGTGGTGATGGGGGTGGTGGTCGCGGGTGGTGGATGGTGGATGTTGGTGGTAGGTAGTGGTGATGGGTGGTGGGTGAGGGTTTTGGTGATGTGATGGTGAGTGGTTGTAATGGGTTATGGTTGGCGGTAGTGGTGTGTGATGGTGATGGTGGTGGTGACGGGTAGTGGTGGTGGGTGGTGGTTGGTGGGTGGTGATGGCAGGTGGTAGTGATTTAGGTGGGTATGGAGGGTGATGATGGTGTTGGTGGATGATGGTGGTGGGTGGGGATGGTGGTTGTGGGCGGTGGATGGTGGTAGGGGTGATGGTGGCGGGTGGTGGTGATGGTGGTGGGTGGTGTGTGGTGGATGGGGAAGTGTTGGCGGGTGGTGGTGGTGGTGGAGGCGGGTGGTGGTGAAGGGTGGTGGTGGTGGTGGGGGTGGTGGTTGATGGTGGGGGTGGTGGTGGTTGGTGGTTGGTGGGTTGTAGGTGGTGGTGATGGGTTGTTGGT